GGGTGTCTGTGATGGTTGTAGACTATCTCTAACTCCATTATCGAACGCCTGTCGGTAATCGTTCACCCCCTATTCAACCACACAGACGGGGTGATACGAGTCGACCCTCTCGAACTGAACTCTAACACATGGACATCTGGCTCTACTAACAACGCGAACCCTCATCTAGTAATCGAAAAGGATTTGGTTATAACCATCATCGTGCTTTTCACTGACATACTGTGGGAAAAAATAGAATAAGCACCGTTCATATAACCGAGCACAGCTCGTGACCTGGGATGTCCCGTGTCATCAACTCTTCCTGCATCTTCTGTTTTGGAAGCAGAGGAGCTAGTGGGAGATGCCTCCTCTTACCGCTGTCAAAGAATCGCCTCATAAGGAATAGATAACCCGGTGGCACAGCTCGCGGTTCGTTTATATAGAAGTGTATGCAAATAGCTAGGCAGACACTGAAGATGGCAGTCCTCGGAATAGGTCCCAACAAGCGTCGACACACACCAACTGAGTGAACAGCCTGGGCTAGCAGGAATATGGCCAGCTCTTGCCGTCTATAGGGCTGTTCAAGGAGGAGAACGCATCCAGCCGTGAGAGAACCGAGCCCGATGTGTGAGGAGCCTGCTCGCAACGCGGTGATGAAGACGGCCAGAAATGCCGAGGACCTCAGCAAACCAACGAAGCTGTCCTTATCCAAAATCTCACGAATTCGTAAACGAATGGAGGAGAGGACGAGTCGTGGAAGGAGGTACGTCGGAATGAGCACAAGGAATGATTCCTTCAGAGCGTTAATAGAGGAGGTCAACAGAGGCAATGCTCCAGTAGGGGGATTGTCGAGAAGGCTTGGGAAGTGTCTAATGATGAACTCGACCAACCTATGGGAGTCGCTGACAGGGGGGGAATATGAATGATGAGAGCTCACTGAGGATCCAGCTCCTGCCTCTTATTGCTCCAACACCACATTATACGGGCAACAGCAGCTGCTGAAGTGGTCACCGCAACAGCTCGACTGGACAATGCAGAGGCTTCACGAGACTGAGAGCAGACATCATGGGGAGGCCCTATTGAGAGCAACATGCTAACCCCCAGCTCAGCAAGGCCGTATACAGTCCTGACCAGGACGAAGACGGCTACGTAGTACTGTGTCGAGTCCGATAGAGCCAAAACCCAGGGACCTGGGAGGCAACAAGAAGGCTCCACTGTGATGGTAGGCGACCTCCTACCTGACAGTAATCCAACCAGCCATGCGAACTGATGTCGACGTTTGGCGGATCCTAGAAGGTACAGGAGGGTGTTGGTAGTGCTGACGAGGCCTCCAAAGAATACACCACATCGTACATGCGATGGATGGAATAGAGCTTTACCGATACCAGCGAGCCTGACAAAGGAAGTCCTCCGGGAAGCAGCACACGGGTTGACAACTCTGTACGAAAATTATGGGAAAACTACCGGAGCAAGCTGAATAGCTAGCCCTATAAAAGAAAACGGGCTGATCGAGCAGTGCTGCTAGCAGTAGGGGAGACCGTCACCTTCCGGTAGTCTGACGACGAAGCAAGCTCGGTAGGACTGCACTGAGTGCCATGGTGGTAGACGCGACAGCAGCTCCCTTGATGAAGTTACGGAATATGCAGTGCTCAAGACTGGGGTATAGCTCGGGAGCATCGTGCCATGGTCGACTACCTACTTGGACCACCATAGCAGTAACGTCAATCGCGAAGAGGCTGACCAGGGCAGCACGAACGATATCCTCTGTCACCTGACCGGGTCCGACCGATAGCTACACACAGTCCTGATGGCAACTGAGAAGAAGGACGTAGAGGAGTACAGGGCGATGAAGGTAACCCTACCTCTCGAGGGTCTTCCCCTCCATCTGGTGTAGAGTCATATTCATCCTCTAAGTCCTGAGGAAGGGCATCTTGAGGCCCGTGAGAAGCACGCCGATTTTACTTTCCATTCCGGTGCTAGAGTCCGCTCTGCCCAGTCAACTAGTGTCTGACTAGCACTCCTCGTGTGCGACAAAGGGGATTCCTCAGGTATCGGCGGAAGCTGACGGACCTCCCTGATAGCAATCTGTAGTAGTAATAGTAGTAGTAGTAGTAGTAGTAGTAGTAGTAGTAGTAGTAGTAGTAGTAGTAGTAGTAGTAGTAGTAGTAGTAGCAGGAGTAGTAGTAGTAGTAGTAGTAGTAGTAGTAGTAGTAGTAGTAGTAGTAGTAGTAGTAGTAGTAGTACTAGTAGTAGTAGTAGTAGTAGTAGTAGTAGTAGTAGTAGTAGTAGTAGAGCATGAGGAGCCGGCTCACCCCGTTATAGCAGACATGACGTTGAAGTCCATACCCCACTGGTGTGGGGATGGGAAAAGTGACGGGGTCATCCCTCCTGGGAGCTCCATCTGTAATTATGACAAAAAGGTGACAAACTACTCACCCACAGTGACCACTACTCTAAACACGACGACAACGACACACATGAGATTGAAGAAGTATCAACGTAAATGGAACGACTGCTGCTGCTAGATGATGAGGCACCAACAGAGAGGGCAACGAGCATAACCAATGATCACTCCTTCCTGGACTTCTTCGGCTCATCCTCACGATCAGAATATCTAAGATAGTAGTAAGATAAGGAAGAGCACTGCGGGGAGTCCCTACTTGTCGCCCTCGTCAGAGTCCCGACGCCGCTTGATGTTAGAAGTATCATCATCTCCCTTTCCTTCCTCCTCCTCAACTCCTTGAGGGGAGTACCCACTACCCGTAGGCAGACTCTCTGGTGAATACGCTGGGGACGTAGGGGAGTATGCGGGGGAATAGGAAGGAGATGTAGGGGAGTATCTGAGGAAAGCCACCAATCTCAGGAGCCCCCTCCTCCACAGCTTACGATGGGGAGGTGTTCGAGTAGGCTGGCGACGTAGGAGAGTACCTGACGACAGGACCTTCATCGCTACTAGTGACTAAAGGATGGTAGTACGCTGGGGACGTAGGGGAATAGGCAGGGGACGTCGGGCTGTACGCAGGAGAGGTTGGAGAGTACGCCGGACTCGTCGGGCTATACGCGGGTGAGGTAGGAGAGTACGACGGAGATGTTGGCGAATACGCCGGACTCGTCGGGGAGTAGGCCGGACTCGTCGGGGAGTACCTATAGAACTCTTCACGACGAGTTTGATGATGATAATGACGTACGCTGGACTCGTTGGGGAGTAAGCAGGACTTGTAGGAGAGTACGCAGGACTCGTTGGAGAATAAGCCGGACTCGTCGGGGAGTACGCTGGGCTCGTAGGAGAATACGCCGGGCTCGTCGGGGAATACCTAACCAGGAATAGGAGGGGAAAACACGAAGACGCCTTACGCAGGGCTAGTCGGGGAATACGCTGGGCTTGTCGGGGAGTACGCTGGGCTTGTGGGAGAGTACGCTGGACTCGTCGGGGAATATGCGGGGCTCGTAGGAGAGTATGCAGGACTCGTTGGAGAATACCTATACGGCATGTGCAGAGTATAGGTAGCTCAACAGGCGAGTACGCTGGGCTAGTCGGGGAATAGCTTGGACTCATTGCCGTACTCATAGGGCCAGATGATGGTGACGTAGGGGAATAAGAGGGCGACAACGCGCTCCCTAAAAGGGAAGATGACGAGCCACGATATAAATTGTCTTCCTTACCTGGTGTCATGGGACCAGCCTCCGAGAAGGGGGAGAAGGGCGTCATACCCCCACCCACAGAGGCCGAGGGTGTGAACTCCGACATAGCCGAGGGAGAGAACGGCGACATGAGGGCCTAGAAAGGAATATGATAGGAATAGAGATAAGGATGGAGGCAACCCTTACCGATCCTGGGGACTGTGCGTAGGAGGTAGGGCTGAAGGCCGCACCAGGTGACATGACATCGTACATCCCCGAGGTCATCATACCGGAAGTAGGCGAGAGCATCCCTCCATCGTAACTGAATGGAGATGACTCTGATATCAACAGCCTCAAATCGAGACCGTCCTACCCCCCACTCCACTCCCCTGCCATCGGACTAGTTATGTTACCAAACGCCACATCAGCAGCATCACGAGGAGTCGAGTCACCGACGGCCATGTCTCCTACACTCATTGATCATGACACTATCCCAACGAGGGAGCCCCTACCTGTGTCCTTAGCTGCCTCTCGCAGTACTAAGTCGTCTTCTGGTAGCACCGGCCTGGCGTCCACCAACTTGTCCGTGTCGATCAACAACTCACACTCAGCCGTTCCTAACACATGGTCAACTACATTTGTCATAATATGAAAATTCTTGTTGGTTTCTATACATTTCTATTCGAATTCCTAAGTAAACTCCTAGACCTCAGTTGAGGAAAGCAATTATATATTCCTCCAACAGTGTTTCCCACCTATAGGTGCCAGTTGTCCAAGCATGATATTCTCACTAACACCCCGCATATGGTCGGTCTCAGCGTAACATGCAGCATCCATGAGCATCTCAACCATCTCCTCGAAAGAACCTACCAAGCCATGTACAAGCAAGGAAGTACTATCGGCCCTTACTCCTCATCAAAGGCCCTCGCTCTACACGATTAATACCGTGTCTTGTGATCGACATCAGATGTCCCTTCTGGCACATCGTATCGCACAGTACCGACATATGTCGATAGTTAACATAACTGAACAGTAGAGGGGCATGAGGGGGCATCTTGAAATTGAAAACTTACGAGCCATCGAAACTGATCACTTGTCGCAGCTCATTGAGTAAAGCCTTCCTACAGGCCTCGATACCCAACACATTGAGGATCTCCACGATGTCATTGGAGAAGGTACGAGTACTGTCTACTGCCTCCATCGTCAACACCTACGAGATAAGGTCGCAGGTTCGATCCCGGCACCACGCATTATTTACCTGCTCTAAATTGCAGCCATCAGTATCCAAAACCCACTCCCTGCTACGAGCCTACAAAGAACAGCCATCCAGCGCCGACCTCAGGCGTACACAAATGCCTACGAATGTGCCCACATCACTGCTATATTGAACCCTATTGTCTTGTCTCATGTAGCACTTAGTGACACCAGGTATACCTTACCAACAGCAGCAGCAGTATAGACAACGACAAGGGAAGTGAATACTATGTACCCTTTAGAGTAAGGTCCGAGAGTAGAGAGCCTTCCACCTTCTTGAGCAGACGGAAATCCTCTTCCCCATCATAATCTGCCACCACACCTCATACACCTACAAAGTGCCCAACCTACCCTCATCCTCCTCATCATCCTTCATCTCAGGAGACCCGTCCTCCGCGGTCTATTGAAAACACGATCATTGTAGAGTAGCAGTGATAGTGACAGTACTACCTCAGTATCGCGGAGGAGCCTAATGCGTACTATCAGATTCTCGCTGTTATCATCAGATACGATGCATTGGACATCCCCGCCGTAGTCTTCAACCTGAACAGCGTTGAGGAAATCCAAGATTGACCAAGATGAGCAAGTGACCCTCTTACTATCTTCTGACCAACGAATCGAGTAGAGAGTTTCTTATCAATCATCACGGAGTTATCCAGTTTAATACGAAGTACCCAAGGACTGCATCGCGAGGAGTCGAAGTCGTCCTCTGGCAACTCGTAGTATCTAAAAACGACCAAGTTGAGATGGGAAGATCGATGACCATAAACCTACTCCTCCACCAGCTGCCTGTCTTCCTCCAGAATAGATGTGCGAACATCTGGATCGAATAGGATCTGGGTATAGGACGTGATTTTCCCCAGAGATGTGTGCTCCAGCTCGGATTGAACCTAACAGACCACCATTGCTATCGTCGATCATATACTCAAGCCACAGTTAGCACCTGCTTGGCCTTGGCATCATCAGAAGCATAGTCCGGATGCAGGTACACCGTCATACTGGGAGTCTTCAAGTTCTTAGCAACATTAATAATCTCTTTCAGTCTATAGCAATAACAATGGTCGCCAAGATGGTCTCAATGCTGACCCCACCTTGGAACTCCCAGAGTGACATTCTTGCTACCAACACCGGCGAAATGGAAGGTGTTCAAAGTCATCTGGGTGGCCGGCTCTCCAATACTCTGCGCCGCGATGGTGCCAACACTCTCCCCAGCAGCGACTAGGGACTTCTCGAATCTTTGCTCGACCTGATCATTAGATCACCTCCCAGTTTCTCCCCACTAACCTTACCTCTCCCAACAGCCAGTCGACTGCCCTCTGCCCGAGCCTATCCCTCTCCAGTAGCTTTCTAGATGCTAGATGGTATCGCAGATGGGCTTGGAGGACCTGCCCAGTACAATGACACAACCAGATAGTGTAGTAGAGACACCTACCACAGTGGCATTATGCTGAGCCTCCCAGCCTAGGACTTGGTCATCAGTAAGGCCTCGAATGACCCTTAGCCTATCCAGGGTCTCCTCCACCTTCTGGACCACCTCTTGAGGTGGATAGAACTACAATGAAACCATTAGCAGTCATTATCTTTTTGAATGCTACATCAGGATCCTCCTCAGCTGGGAAGAGGTAGTGGCACTGGTCAATCAGCCTCCTCACATTGATGGGAATATGCTGTCGTGACTCGCCATCCTTATACACCTTCGTACCTAATCCAATACCACTCCTTCCCATCATCATCACCAAACCATTCCCCCTCACATAGAAGTCGTTTCATCTCCTTCAAGTTCTCAAATTCTCTATCGAGTACCGCCTGTACTTCATGGTTCATCCGAATGTTACTGCGGACCTTCTCATCCTTGATCCATCCTCTGCCATAATCAGGATTGAGATAGTCATGCTTAGCGATAGCTGCCAGCCTCTCATGGCTAATCTTCATCAACTCGATATCCTGGTCTTCTATATACTCGGCAGTCATACCATCCTCGCCATACCTAACATGAAAATTACCCGAAAACAATTGTGGTCGCGATGGTTGCATAAATCCGAAAACCCAAGTGAATTATCAGATCATACTCCGGTCATCAGTGCTTTACAAGTACTACCGGAAGCGAGCGTTTAACCATGATCCCTATTACAAGAACTGCACAACTTCATCCATCTCGTTCCTCACAGACCCATCATATCGAACCTTGATACTCTCCATGGACTTGATCAGTCGTCTCTGGATGTATCCAGTTTCGGCAGTCTTACAGGCGGTATCAATAATACCCTCTCTACCACCTACAGGGAAAAGAGGTTCACTACCAGCGTGGAGAAATGCTCATATCCTTAGTTTTCTAACCATATGAAAATTCTGAGCAAAGTTTGAGGAATTTTCGTTGATTTCGTGCCCTTCCACCAAAATTCGTGTATAAACTTCTAAAATTATTCAGGAAGCTCCTGAGCTCAGGTGAGGAACGCGAGAATATCTTCCTACTACTAGCCCTGTCTTCGACCTACCCATAGCATGGAAGAAGAACTCCTGAGGAGTAAGGCCAGCTAAATAGGAGTTCTCGACGAAACCTGAGAGGGATGGTGATGGTAGACTAAACTGTGAGGGCCTGTCTCACCTCGACTCTCGGGCCCGAAATCATCCTTTGTGAAATGTGGTAAAGTACGATCCCGGAACCCAGTGGGTATACGCTTTCCCTCCACATTCTGCTGTCCGACACATGCTATAATCTGAAAACTCAAACTGCTACTTTGCTACTATAAGTAGCAGTTATGATAATAGTGAAGATGGCTTCACTATATCCATCTACACTAATATCGAGAGCAATTAGGGTAGTATAGTAGGCGAGCACTAGTGTATAGTAGCAACAATGGTAGTTCGCCAATACCGACTATGGAAGGCCGATCACTTTAAAGTAACAGTACTCTGAATGATGGAAAGAAGACGACGAGTGGTATAGCGGTTGAAGCGGTTCATGCTAGTAGTATGAACACTACTCTAGTGAAGGGAAGGGAGCATCGATAGTTACCTGGGCAATATTGATAGGGTTACCCTTTGAACCCGAGTCCACCATAGCGATGATGTTATTCTTATCATCAAGACTATCGGCCGCGAGCCTTCCAGAATCCTGAAATACAGTGTTGCAATACATGTTCGCTTTCTTCAGCTGAACTCATGAGTTTCCCCACTAATCGTCGGAGCTCATGAGCGAGTCGAATTAGAACTCCACGGAAACCAGCGAGAATCCCCCACAATTTCCTCACAAAGTCACCAACACATGTGGTTGATCATGTGCAATTTTCATCGCACTGCTGAGATATGCTACTATCCCCACCGCCACTGTCACCACACCCAGAGCGCATACCTCACGAGCTTGGTTCAACCTCTGGTTCACTCGCGCTTCAAATGACTGCTGTAGAGACTTGCCAGGCTGGGCCTCCAACCGTCCCCTCTGGGCATCCAATACCAACTTCCTCACATCTCTCTTCGCCTGGATAGACCAATACCATCTTTTCATCAAAACCATCGATCTACCTGTGCCAGAGTGTCGGCCACCTTCTGCATGGTACCGTCGTTAGCAACGATATCAGCACACCCAACCGTGAAGCCGTGATGGAGTAACCAAAAGTTCACCAGCCTTTGAATGCCACCTACAAGAAGATAACCAGAGCAGCTGAGGGGACAAAAATGAGATTACCAATAAACTGCTTAGTTCTTTCAGGACCATAATCCAACCAAGTGATGTGGATAAGGCCACCCGAGGAAGCACCAACAGTCTTCTTGCAGATGACGCCAGACATAATCTCGCCCTCTTGAATGATAACCTACAGGTAACAACCTTTCCATCATCCACTTCTACCCCTACTACTACTACTGCTACTACTACTACTACTACTACTACTACTACTACTACTACTACTACTACAACTGCTACTACTACTACTACTACTACTACTACAACTGCTACTACTACTACTACTACTACTACTACTACTACTACTACTACTACTACTACTACTACTACCCGACAGTCACTCCTTGAGAACCATGGGTCATCTCCTCGGTTCTTACTAGCTATACCAGCATCCTTCTGTAGACTAATCTTCGGCAAGAGCATAGAGAACAGCTGCTTGCCAGACCAAAGCGGACGAGGCTTCAAAATGCAGGGCATAGGCATGTTACCACCATCCCAACTAGCTGGCAGTAACCACATCAACAACTGCATACACATATCCTTCTCTATGAAGGTATCACGTTTCGTGAGCAGTGTTGAGGCGAGGAGTGAGTCCTGGACAATACCCATCACCTGAGATACGCAGCAACAGTACCACCGTCATAGTCCCCTTCCTCTCCGTACCGGCCTGTTTCCCTGTGGACTAACAACCTGTCTCGGGACCATCATAATGTTCCTGATCTCTGCTCTAGTCTCGTGCGACTGCGCCAAATGCATATTCATTTCATCACCATCGAAATCAGCATTATAAGGAGAAGTCACAGACAGATTCAAACGGAATGTCGAGAATGGTAAAATCTTAGCCTGAATGGAAATTCCATGAAATCCCAAAACCACTTTTTCCAACAAGCACTCACCCTATGCCCCATCATAGACATTTTATGCAAAGACGGCTGACGGTTAAAGATGACCAGATCGTTATCCTGCATATGCCTCTCCACCCTCCAGCCGTATCGTAGTACAATATCCTATCAAAATTCCTCATACCAACAACAACAAGCGTACCTCACTGAACTCACCTGAGCCTGTTTGGTAAACCTCAAATCGATACAGCTATTATCATCCCTTATAATCCTCTTAGCGCCAGGCCACGACGTCGGTCCTCTCATCACCTAGCCACACACACCTCATCATCATTCAGCCAGCCAAGCCCTCCCAATGTCCTTACCAATTCCCTCATCTTCGCGTAGTTCAGTGGAGTGACCCTTTCAGCAAAGGTAAGGTTCATAGCAATAGACTTTGGCACACCAACTTGATCAATATCGATGTTCGGGTCTCCAGTGATGACAGTACGAGCAGAGAAATCCACTCGTTTTCCCATCAGATTGCCACGAATCCTGAAAATTGCCCTCAGCCTGCCCACGAACGCAGATACGTTCCCCTCACTACCGTCCCTCCTTTCCCTTCAGCCGGGACCTAATACTCTTAATAGCCTTCTTGCTCTTGGTCTGAGCCTCAGGCATGCCGGGTATGTTGTTATCCTGTAGAGTATATAGATGCCACTGTAGTAATGCTGCTATCTCGTTTACTATATGACTACCAGCACCTGATGCAGGACCAGTCTACCTACAGTTACCACTACCACTACAGCCAGTGTGGGAAATATGTACATAATCAACTACGTGCGTTGGTGACAATATGCAAGTTCTGAAAAAGCTTTATAACATTTTCATTGGTTTATAGGAACTTCTATAGTTAGTGAGGAAACTCATGAGCTCAGCTGAGGAATGCGAACATGAATTTCAACACTGATTTCAGCTACTACCATAACTAAAACAGCTACTACCAGTTTCCAGTTGCCTCTTCAGCATCTGATTAACCTTAACGATATCCTGCAGTTTGAGAGTGAGATCATCCTCAGCCCTGTCAGTACCACCACCAACTACCAAGAAACCGTCAATTTAAGGATCTCAACTACTAAAAACATTACATGCAACACTAGGCCTGACCGGTGGGGGCGGTACAGGGACCACAGTTAGAATCAGCCAGGAGGGCTCTGATCTCCCCGGAGTGAAACCCATCGCTATCATGTCGGGTACCGATATCCGAGACAAGATGTTGTACCTGAAATCGATGAACATAATCCCTTCACTAGAGTAGGAGGAGGGGTACTTACGCTGTCTCTGCGCTCAAAGGGCGTTTGGTATCACCCTGATCCACTACCACACCATCTTCATTTTCCTCGTTGGCTGATGATGGGAAGGACACGATAATCTGCATGCCCTGGACTGTATACGAGGGTTGAGCGTAGCCACACCCTAACATGTTCAAAACTACAAGACTGGTCGTTGAAGGGTGTACTAACGTACCGGTATGAGCAACATCTTCATCATCAATATCCTCATCTTGCTGCTTGCCACCGCTCTTCATCACCGATTCCATTCCTCCACTATCGCACACCTTCCTAGACTTGCATATCACAGACATCTGAAAATGAACTCCACGTAGGAAGAGAAGCTCCCCACCCTTACCGCTTGCAGTCGAGTCTTTGGGTTTTTCACTCGGAGCACACGTTTGATAACGAGGTCGTTGGGGTCTGCCAACAGCTTGCTGCAATAGTAACACACGCATCGTAACGCCTTCAATGTCGTTTTCAAAAAGCCACCATGATACCTATCAACAACTTTTAAGCTGACCGAGGGCATGGATACTACATCGGCTTGGCAAGCTCCAGATGGCCGAAATGTCCTGGGCAATCCCGCATCTTCATACCGCAGGTCTCACACGGTGTACGTGGATCAACCGAGCCAAGTCTTGGATCAGAAAGCCCCCCTCGGACCGGCTCCTACACAGCAATACATATCAACATCATCATCATCATGCCCTCAACCCATAGTACCCCATCCACATATATATTCCCTGTATCCACTTTACATACACTTTGAGCTATCGTCTGTTGCGGTGATAAGATACCAAACTCTACCGAGGCAACCTTCTTGAGCTCAGCACTCGAGTAGGGCTCATTGAGGTCCAAGGCAGTGGTCATTAGTGCCCAACAATAGATCCTACAGGAGAAAGGCTTTTTCAATTTCGTTATATTGGATAAGGTGGCCTAACATGCTGAATGGGACTGCACGCAAACGCTCCGCTCCGCTAAATTTTGGAACATGTTATGCACTTTTCATATTCCATGATCAGGATCCATCCGGATGAATCGGCCTCCTGTGACAGGATTCCTGTCTTGGTCGATTTTTGTAGTACTACAGTCCGGGGGCCGTATGCGGATCCTGATGCAACAAGTGAGCCTGAGTATTTACTCAGATGAAAAAATCAGAGGGTGGGTTGAATGATGGACTCAGATTCGTGAATCAGTATCATCCGCATACAGCCCCAGACATCAAACTAGAATCATCAGACTGGAAGCTGCCAAAGTAGCGGCTGTATAATCGTTCGTGACTGCCAACTTGGATGTAACCCCATCGAGCAGGGTAGACTTACAACGCTCAGAATAGACTTTAATTCTTTAGTGGTATTCACTCTAGCTTTCTGTACCTTCGGGATCGATAGTTAGTTGGTAGCGAGCATGAATGTGGTTGTGCGTGCTAGTCATAGAAGGAACAACGGTTACTTGGGTATGCCTGGAGAACTATCCCACACTACTCGTCCCCTTCCGCCTCTGTTTTGGACGGTAATTTCAATGAGTTCCGAAGTCACCGAAACTGATGAAAAATCGACTGAAACACCACCACTGGGTTGTTCCACTGGCGATTCCCTTGTTGGTCAATGGTCAAGCGTTACCCATCTTATCACAGTGCTGTGGGGAAGTACTAACCTCTACTACAATTGGACTACATGCGGATTGTCTGGTAAACGAGTCTTTATCATCAATGGCGACAGTTTGGAAAAGGTTGCACCCCTGGTGTCCAATCTGGATGCCTAATAGACATTGTCCATGGATGTGCAAAGATATCCCGTCGACATTCCCTGCACGAGAGTACTCTCAACAAAACTCGCTATTCAATGCAGACCGTTGCTTGACTATAGTGGAATGGAAAATTGTTTGACCGGAAAGTCATACGAAAAATGCTTAAGCAGATAGTCAACCTTCTGAGACATGGAGATACAGCAGGCGTAAGATATACACCCTGTTGAACATGCCGCAAAGTTGATGACGAAAGAGTACTCTTAGAAATGGAGTATTCGAAGCATCATTTCTCATCTCCTGCCTTCTCTTTATCCACTTGGGGTATAAAACCCGCACAGTCTAGTTCGGCTGGTAGCGCGACATGCGGCTCCTTCCTGGCAGTCCAGCCCCTGAGGAAAAATAGGAAGCTCAAACAAGGGGAGCTCGGAGACCGTCAGCACTGAATAGCAACTTCATGAGAGATGAAGTAAGACTCGCAATGATATTCGTTACAGACACGAACGATGGTCCCCCCTTAGAGAGCAACCATACAGGATCCAGAGCTGACGAAGTAACCTACAGTTGCACACGGTACGTAGCATAGTGGATCAAATCCATCATGCACAGGCTTGGCTTCAGCTAGAGCAGGCGGGCAGGGTCTGTGTGGGGCGACAATCGGCATGCATGTCGAGTAATGAGGATCCTGGAAGCGGGTATCAGTCATCCAACAAACGACCAAATTCAGCTGCTCATCAGTAATCAAATAGATTCTCACCTGATAGGAAATGGCGGCGTACTGTCTGATGCCATTAACTGTAGGGCATGAACCATTGACCACCGGGCCGTATAGCTGGTTCGGGGGATACTCATATACAGAACTGTTCTGCTGGTCGTTGGCCTTGCGGTGAGCGCTGTGAGGACCCAGGGACCAACTGAAAAAGAGATGAAAGTGCTCCCGTTGTTCATTCGAGAGCCGACCTACTTCAGACCTTTCTCCTCCTTGAGAACCACAGCCTCAGTGAACAGTTTAACAGTCGCGCATCCGAGGATGTAAGTCCACAGCTTCATCAGAGACATTACAGAATATCCTATAGCACGTAAAGCCTTACATGATACAATCAGGCATCATATAGATCAAAAGTATAAGTCGTACTATGCAATACCCGCGGGAGGATGAACCGAAGATGGCACACACGAGCTCAGCTCTGCGAAGCGAGTAGGATCATCGAGTGATCCAGAAACTCCGTTCACATCCGACATAAGCATGTCAAGACCTCCCATGAATTCCAAGGCACGCAGAGGCATAGCTATTCCCGCACACGGCGCCATAGCAGAGATACAAGAACAGGGATGAATAGACTGTACTCATCGGGCCGAACTGAGCCGATCTACACGATAGTATAGCTCATACTGGCAGGCCTAGTTACAGGCCAATCGAAGGGTTACCTCACGTCTGTACGTATCCATATACATATGTATCTACGACTGTACGTATTTACAGTCACGCGCCATGCGCCACGGCCATAGTGACGCTCCACGGCCACGGCCATAGTGACGCTCCACGCGAGGCATTCCACAACATCACGCAGCAAAGCCGTAGAACTCTAAGGAACGGATTGGTTAACGGTAAACTAGACTAAGGCGATCGGACAGCAGTGATCTAGCTTGTACAGGGCAAATGCTTCCGAGCGATCAGTAAATTCTGAGGAAACTCTCTATGCCATTGTTGTCGCTACTGATGACGCATTGGCGCCATAGAAAGATTCGTCAAGTTGTTCGATGAATGAGTCGAAATAGATGCGGTTTACTGAACAACGTTTAGGTAACGCTAACGGGGTATCATGCTACGTAACATTCTTCTGGAGATCGACAGTGTGCTCAGTGGGCGATGGGATGATCCTTATATATTCCTTTGGGCGGTTTCTTACTAATGATTGATGAATAGCCGAGTCCATTGAATCTCTTTAACTCGGTAACTCACGGATCTCATATATAAGCTGTTTGACACAACAATGTGGTATGAGAAACCTATGCAAGTTATACATCAAGCAATGCTCGAACACTATCAGGACTATGACTGGCGTGAACATCAGGAAAGTGCTCAGCTGCATAGTTGTAGACCTTTTCATAAGCATCAGCTATTTGGAGGCACACACCCTGTCTCGCTTGGGAGCGGAGAGAGCGGTCGCTGAGACGATCAATGGCGGGGATAGATAGTGCTCCACCTGATGAATGAATGAAGCTGTGCAATTGTCCCCCGAGCGGTACTCACTAATGTTGAAAAGCGCAGTGTAGAAGCCTCTGAAGCACGCCGACAAAGTCATAGGATCAATATCTTTTCCCTCAGAGAGTTGTCGCAGCATCTCCGCCAACCCTAACTGTCTAAGCGTGGACTGAGATGAGAACAAAAACATCGAAGCCGCGAGCCCGTTGTAGCTCGGAAACGGGAACAGCATTGTGGGCGAGGCATCCTCACTTCAGAATGTTCCTTGATTAGTTCATTCATCTGGTCTTCAATGAGTGAGTGCAACATAGTGACACGTTGGGACTGAAGTATAACACTACTGATCATGGAACGTGAAATCAATTCGACTGTACTGTGAAAGGGAATCGGAGTAACGGCTCTTGCATAGCTGCGAGACAGTTGAGCATGAAGACCGGTGCATCTCCTTTGGCCATTGCCGTCGAGATCTGCTGGCAAAATTGCAGCAATGGGTCGAGAGCCCCAGCGAGGATCTGATCGGATAATAATGAACAGAGCGACAGGTTCGTGGCCAATCGACCAGGACGCCACCGGGAATAATTCAGCCTGAGCCCGCTCTTCGTCAGTTTGGCTGTCCTTGCCTGCCACCCCCCACAGCATCGTATGACTCTCTTGGAATATGGTCAGTATCTTAGCAGAAAGCGTGATTATGATACAACAGATCAGTCTTTAGAAAATCATGGCTTAGCTAAGCGATGAGCAGAGTGCACAGCATAGCCTTTGAATCGCATAAAGATAGAGCCTCATCAACAGTCGCCGTCGGGTCCTCACAGACGCACCCGGAACGGGGACCATGCAATCACACAGGCGATAGTAACAGAGTCGACAGCAACGACTTATCTCCTACTTCTTCAAGTGAGTGCACTGTGTTTTCCACGAAAGCTGGTGGTGAAAGGTCATGCAAACTGGAAGACGCTGACAGCAGATACCTGTTAATGCAATGGCAAGTGGTGGTCAGTAAGACCCGTGCTCACGTGCTGGTAGAACGAATCGCCTGGGCCTGCGCCTCCCACGCATCGAGAAAGCTCCGATGAGTCTGCGTTCCCAAATCCGACAGTATGGCCAACAAGGGCTGAAAGTACACGACCATCAACGGTTCGTTCATATTGAGCTCTACTCACTTCTTCAACCACAATATCATCCGTAGCATCAGCCGGCAGAACTAATGGTCGTAAAGTGATCTCAAAAAAGGAAAGAAGCTTAGACACCTGAACGGAAAATGAAAGCAGTTGACTGAGTACGATCTGAGCGATACCTTGAATAGCTCCACCGGACCAGGGCCGTGACCGATGGTGTCATCCCAGATAGAGTTGCTGCGCGCCCTACTCCTGAGGTCGCCTCTAAACGACTCAGCCCGGATACTGGTGTCATCGTTGGCTGAGCCGGATGCTGTGCGTGGGAGGTTGGCGTATCCGCCTGTCCTGAAGATGACAGCAACTCGAGAATTGACACTTGAGAGAATTGAACGAAGGATTACACAGCGACGTCAATTTTGTGGCGGAGATGCTCTGCTACACCACTCAGAGCCGTACCAAGGCCTTCCCACCATACCATCGGCTCTGAAATAGGAGTACTAGTAATAAAATATGACTAAAAGTATAGATCCTTACTCTCCCCCGAAGACGTGTTGTCCGAGTCGCCGCAAGGACTTCTTCCTTCCGTCTCCTCATCATCCTCAGAAAAGGTCTGTATGAAGAACTCTCGCTCCGCAGCAACTTGTTCATGTATCCACGCGAGCATGTCGTTCGTATACCTAACCAAACACTTCTCGTTACATTGACCATCATAACCTCACCGAACAATGTCGTAGGCGTGAATGTCTATGGGGCGACTGGTGGGTCCGCCCTTCGTGAGAGTCTCATGGAACCTCTGCATCAACAGCTGACGGCGAACCCGCGATATCTCCTGAGCATTCAAGTACCCTCCTGTGTAAATGATGATGATGACCTCACCTTAGCTGAGTGATTGAAATACACTGTCCTGTGTCGAATGACTTGCAGTCCCTTCCTTATACGCCTAGAGACTTCCTCTTCCGCTTCAGAGTCATCAGCCACGGTGATCAACTCCTTGCATTGCCTCTGCAACCAGCCGTTACAATGCATACCCTCTCCCACTCTACCTGTATCCACACAAAGATACGTTCGTAAGCAATCTCCTGTAGATCCGATGTTTGATGCAGAATGTCGACTGCCAGAGCTGCGTCGTAGTGGAATGCCCCCTTGAGCTCATCGTGTGAGTTCCCCTAAAAAGTTATCTAGGGGCGAAGGTTGGAATATATGCTCGCTTTTCTCAGCTGAGCTCAGAAGTTTCCTCACTAATGTACGCGTTCGGTTATAAGTGCACAGAAACCAACAAGAATTTTCCAAAATTTACTCATAATTTTCAAATTCTCACCAACACATGTAGCTGACCATGTGCATATTGCCCCCCCCCCACACTGCTTCCACCAACCTCTTGGGAGGTAGATGAAGGGGTGGAAGATGCATCAGCGACAACGCCCCCTATAGTTCTCGTGCTATCACTATCATTCAGCTCATCCAACATGCGTCTTGCCTCAATACGTATCTAACCATAAGCTGGTACACAGGACCACTACCCCCCTTCACTAACCTACCCGATGGAGTTGCTTGAGACTCTTGAAAAAATCCTCATCTATTGGGGAATCGGAGTTCCTTATTCTGGCCTCGTCTTCCAGTGGTAATATAAACCGCGAAGAGAACAAATCGAGTACCTCGCAGTGCAGTGTGGCCTCCCAAGAGGTGCCCGAGTCGACCTACTTCCTTCTTTTCTACCGTGTGCTTCTTATGCAAGTTCAACTTTCGAGCCTTTTCCAGTACCTGCGTCCCCCAGTTGAGATCACCAGAATACCCCAATGGCAAGTGCCCACTTCGTGCGTGTTATTCCGAGAGTCCTGCAGCTGCGCCGAAGCTGCATCCAAGAGACTCTCCAAGTCGCTAAGACGTTTCGACCTGTTCCAGTTGAATCTTCATCCACCTCCCGCCATCGTCCTTACATGTCCTCAACGGCCGACTCCACTTCCGAGAAGTTATTAACAAATTCCTTATTCAACATAAGATTCTCATTTTCTATCATGTATCTGAGCGAGTCGTCGTAGTTCCCCGAAGACGCCTTCGTCATCTACCTAAGGTTCCTTCTCTGATCCACACTGTTGCCTTCACCATAAAATGAGGAGAGCGTCTGCAAGACAGCTAGAGAGCTGCCAGGTTCGAATCGCAGTGACAACACTTTCTGAACCTAGCCAGAATGATCGTAAGATCCATATCAACCTCTCTACTAGTGTACCCACGATAACTCGATAGATTTACACTCCTGTGATGTAGCCCATGCACCGCTAAGAAGCCTATTATTTCCTCGTACAGTGCCAACAGAACCGCAATAGAGAACGCATCTTTCCCGTTATTCGTGAGGACTTCACGATTGCAATTCACAAAGTTTCATAACTACTCTAAAACGTAATTCGAAGTCTACATTAATTCAGTCTACTGATTCCCTCGATAGTATCGTCGCCCGACACAAGAATAGTACCCAGTCTACGTCCTATCTAGCAAGCCCGGACATCCCAATCACTACCTTCTTCTGTAAGGCTTGGGAAGTGCTAGCCCCGACCGCCGCGGCTGTGATAGAGCCTCGACCGGCTGTTTCTTCCGAATTTCCCGGTCGTGCTGTTGTTGTCATGTGATAAGCTCAACCCCGTCACTTGAGAATGATTCATAGAACCCCTTAAACACCCCTTAAACTTACTACCAACATGCCCACTGAAACTGTTGTACTCTGACAAGAACCCGAAAGTCAAAAGCCAAAGTGGGAGCACTTGATGCTTTGAAATTTTATGGAGGTTCCAACAGTACCGCAAGTGCTTGCAAATCTACGTGTGGCGATAGTGTGGATGAAGAGGAGCTAGGGAGGTAATTTCTGTGCGACTTGGCTGGAGCGATACCATGACGACAGCCAAGGCATTACACTAGTGTTGTCCCGACAATTCCCAGTTATGGGGATGGTGAGTCGACTGCTAGCACCAAGCAACGGGACGGGTTTATAACAATAACATAATACCATAACCTAAAAATAGCAAGAATTGCATAACAGCCATAATGCCATAGGTATTATGGCTCTTGACTAAGTGCTCAGAGTACTCCGTTATAGGTATGGTGATTGGCCATAGTACCGAGATTACGAGATATCATTTCTAGGTTTAATTTATGTTTTGTCAATGTATCGGTTAACACTTTGTTTCTAGCGTGTGGTATCGGATAAATCCTCTGTATCAAAAACGCGTTCCGTACCCCGCCCAGCCTTCATCGCGGGTGAGGTGTGCTTTAGACTGGCGGCGATGTGAATGCTTTATACGGAACGGCATCATATACAGTAGATGCGGTTAGGCCAGCGATGGTATTCGATTTAGGGAATATATTTTGTGTTTAAACAGAGATGGTAGTAGTGCTACCCTTGCTCACAGCGAGCCGCAGGACTGGCGATGCTTTCCTTGTTGAGCGAAGGATGATCTCCGCCGTCCTCTCCTGTATTGGAGAAGCATGGGAACATGCTCAAGAGTTCAAGTGACGAGAGACTATACGGTGTGTGAGTTAGGTCAAGAGGCCAAGATGGCAATTCGGTGATAATTCAACTCCCAAGACTACTGGGCTGTTATACTGTTGTTGTCAGTCAGTCGTCGTTTGGGTACGATCCCCATGTTTTTCCTTTTACCCCCCCCCCCCCCCACTGCCGTCCCTAGGCAGGTATCATTGAACTACTCGGTTAGATCTCTCTGTATGTCACTACTTTGGCTACATGTATTCTGAGGTCTGTAGGTTACTCAAGTCGCAGTTCAACGTTCCGGTTTGCAGCCAAGGGTGGGCGAGTCGAGTTATCGACTCAAGGGTAGGAAGTCTGAGTAGTGTATGGCATAGTCGCAGCTAACTTGAATCAACTGACGGGATGCTCTTTGGTCGCTACTAGCGGTTAGCCCCCGCGTGTTCGCATGATGGTTTTATACTCTGCACTCCTCCGTTATTATCGGTGATTTCTTCCGGAATCATGTTCTCATCTATCTCTTCTTGTACTCTATTCAGTTCTCTCTTCCACCAGTGTATATTACCCTCTACATTTTTTGTCATTTGTGACAGTTCACTTCAGTGGCCTCTCAGTATTTGTTATTTTCCTCTTCGAGCCGGCGTACGATATGCAGTGTGATGTCTCGTCATCAGACCGGTAGTTGTACGTTGGTATATCTCTTCATTCTTATTAATACTACCCGTCTCTCTGAGTGTTGCCTCGTCGCTGTAGGTTTTTTTTCAGTGAATTCCCCCTGGCATTGCGTAGTGCATCGCTAAATGGTCAACGTTTTGCTCCCTCCCAGAACGCCAGCTTGAGTTGATCAGCCTAGTTATGCCCGGCGGCCTTGTCCTCGAGAACCTCTTCACAGATCGGCCCACCAGCGCTAGTGACGTATTGAATGCAGGAAATACAGTTACTGTCGCTCCCACAGCCCATAGGCCCAATTGGTTTGCTCGCCGCTATGCAAGGCTGAGGAATCATGTTGAATCGCTAGAAGGCAACCTCAGGGTTGTGAAAGAGGTGTGGTTAGAAGGCAATGAAAGGAGAATGGCCACTCTCTTCGACGTACGCCACTACGTGAGGCCGGTACTAGCATCTACAGGGTCAGCAGTCGGCCTCTATTCTATAGGGTAAGTGTCATCATGTGAAATCTTCCGTAACCAATGCGTCTTGTTATCAGAGTGTGTGTCCAAATGAATAATCGCAGGCCGCTACACCGGGCATTGTATGTAGCTATACCCTACGCCATAGTGATGAGTTCAGCAGGAGTCCTTATGAGGCTTACTACGAAGGTTGATGATATCATGAAGGATGATCCTAGTCTGAGGAGGGTCTTTGAAGGCCGCACGATTGACACTGTGTAATTTGTTTCGGAAGAACATCATGTTGTATTTATCGTCAAGAAAGGGCCAACCTTTACTTGCTTGGGATGCGGATATCGTCGATGAGGGAATGGAAATATAGAATTTCGAGCGAGGTCGAGCGAAAAGTGCATGTTGTAGGGGTCGAACCCGCGTCTCTAGCAGCGGGACACTTTCACCCATCACCAGATTGTTATAATCCAATAATGCAATCTTGCCGAAAATGACTTCTACTCGACTTCATGGAAATCTCGACATTGATAAAGTCGACCTGAGGTAGTGACAGTGACGGGACTGGGCGCCTACCTCGCTTTGGGTTCAGTCACTGTTGTGCTCTTCTTGACGTTTATCAAGTTCGAGAACCCTGGCTTCATAAGCTACTCATTGACTGCATGGTGGAGGAACGATGCCCATTGCCAAGCTATTGGTCGAGGAAAATAGATAAGGTCACTGGAAGAGTGTAAGCCTCTCGATTCCTCCCGACCACTGCGACGGTGCGTGTAGGTACTATGCGCATCTAATTGACAAGAGGCCTTCATGGGAACATCCCTATCACGACGTATACAGTCGTCTCATCGGCTTCTTCAGGGAGTCTCTATGGCGACAACAGCAGCGGGACTTGGTAGGAATGGTCATCCCTTGTGTTCGCTGTAGCGATGCTTCCAGGTTGGGAAAGCATGCGCTGAGGAGTTGCAACGGTTCAAGGAAGAGATTACTGCGTCCGGAGTCGACGACTGGGAGGCTACCAAGAGCAGAAATGGGAGAGAGTGATAGCCTCTGTTGTGGTATTAGGAGCTTATCTCAACAGTAGGTACTATTACAACGCTAAGACGGGAGAAACCACGTGGGAAAGCCCACAGGAAGCTGCGAGCTGTCGTCTCAATGCATACACCAATGCATTGGCTCTCATAACCGACAAGCCGTAGTAGTCTGTAGACCGTGTGGTCAATGGTAGTACCGTTCGTTTAGGTACTGGGAAGCGCTACTCGCTATGGATGCTCCCGTTCAAAGTCCGGGACCATCGCGTGGTTCTCAGAAGAAGGTAGTGTGGGGAGGGGGTCTGAGGAGAGATGGAAAGACGTGATCTCTATAGAAACTCACGACAGCACTGTCTTCCTTCGCTGAGCGTTTGAAGGGCCGGTATAAGGCAAGGAAGAGGCGCGGGGGAGCCGATAAGGGAGAAGGGTATCAAGCGCCAGTGATGCCTTCGCCGGGTGATGACACAGCGCTCACGTGGTCAGTCAGTTCGGGTAGGCTATTGGGTCCCGTTTGGCACTTCTTCATCGTTAGAGTAGATAATTCCACCGCTACTCGAACTCCCGTTGAGACCACGGTAGCCCCTGCGGAAGAATATCGGAGTTTAGCGCGCCCGACAGCAGTGAGAACTCCTCGGTAGAGATGGGGACTACTGGTCGCCTGGTCTCGGAGGTGAGGAGGTTCAGCTTGCCATGCAGCCCTATAAGACCTTATCTAGGCCCGAGTGCTCCAATTGTCGTAGTTGAACAGTCCTCCATAGACGACGCCTCAGCTCTAGAGGTTAGTTCGAACTTCTCCGGACTGGCCACAACGTCATCGTCGTTGCTCTCTAGGGCCCTCGGGAAGGGTTGTGTGGAGTGAAGGACGATGGACAAGGAGTGGAGGAAACCAGGAAGGTCGCACAGAAACTGGAAGGTCCGATATCTCATCCCATAGATAGAGAGTTGGGGTGTTAGGGTTGATGAAGCCCCAGTCTTGTGAGGGGGCAGATGGGCTGACTGCCGATAGCTCTGACGAAGAACTCATCCGAGTGACCGCTCTAGTGACTGACCATCTCTGTGAAGGAACGAGGAATGTACACTGTCAATGGCGACTATCACTTGGGTGCTCAGTTGGGCTTCAGGAATTGGTCGCCTCACTGGAGAGTGGTATGGAAGCCCAGGAGACCATCAAGACCGATCTTGACGCTCGACTGAGCCAACAGGAAGCTAAGCAAAGCGAGATGGAGGTAGCGATGCTTGGGTATTGCATGAACTAGAGGTGCTGGCTGGTCTCAGTTCACTATCTCAGCTCTGGTGAAGTCCATGCAGGCCTACTATGAGGCGCTGGGAGCTCTTATGGTGTATCAGAATCAAAAGGAGGGTACTGGGGGGCAGTCAGTAGCGCCTATAGAGGAGCTGCTCCGGTCGAACAAGGAAACCCTAGGGTGAGCCCGCTATCTCCTGTTCCTATGTGTGGAGATTCCTTTTATGGTAGGCGGTTAGTCGATCGCTACGACGATCATATAGTGGTGAAGCAGGGACGGGCCTCCAATGCACATCGAAAGGCTCGGCCCGTATCTGCTGCTGTTACCCGTAGAAGGTCACCTCTTATTGAGGTCCTCCCGGTGGCTCACGAAAGCCGACACTGCCTTGATAAGTTCATCGATTATCTCAAGCATAGTTTCAGTACTCCTGAGGAAGCCTATCAGTACTTCTCTGACGGTGCCATTGGGTTCAGCAGGGAGATGTTCGCTCTCCGACTGAAGACGTTGGACGATGTCGGGCATGTCAATAGCAACAAGGATATTCTATGGAGCGCGATTTGCCGAGAGGCGGGTATAGACCCATCGGGGCTTATGGACTCGGTACGATGGGCGAGGGTTGTGCTGAATAAGCCAACAAGGAGGACGCTACCATATCGAAGACTCGGCAGAGCTGTTAAGTCAGTCGACTCCAGCTTTTGGAACCAAACTGGTTTACATTATTGAAGATACGTAGCGGCGTCGGTCCTCACTGAGGCAGCCCTCGAGTGCACTAGGGCGGTGGCACAGGAAGCCATGGAGGGGTTGGAGATGGCCAGTGTGTCACCTAACGAGATGCCAAGGTGAGCGGTGACTGAGGCGACCGTCACCAATCTTCATTTTAGTGAGTCAAGGCCGAGAACGAGGTCTGGTAGTAGACAGAAGCGTACTACCCGGAACGCTAAGAGTTCTATCGGATCGCTGGCAGCAATCTATGGTACGACGCAGTACCTAAAAGACTCGACCCCAGCGGAGGCATGTAAGCCTGGTACTGACCAAAAGGGTTGCAGGGGCTCACTGACTCAGGCACACGAGACCACCGATCGGCGAGCTTGCTGCATGGTCTATAGAATCAGTCCAATGATAGTCCTTTCTCTATGGCATGTACCGTCCACGCTCGCCGTTGTTGCTCCCCCCCGTTACTGTTGTGTTGTTCTATATGGGCGTGAGATGTTATCTGAATCAGCAGCTCTTTACCCTGATGCAATGCCGCTATATCCTCTACTCTATGATGCCCCTTATCTTGCTTGCTGATGATGATGGGAGGGCTCTAGCGGGAGAGGGCCTACCCCATGTGCAGGTGCCCTCCGGCTCACCCCAAGCATCTATTTTGCTCTCGTTCACGCCAGGTCAAATGCAGCGTCTCGAATTTACCGGCTGGAGATGGTACGTTAGAATCATTCGGCTTCTTCACATTGGCTGTCTTCCCTAGTGTTGCGCCCATAGGCTTTAACAGGTCAGTTCGTCTAAGCAGCACTAGCCTTATCATCGCTGTATTAGATTTATGGAGCTCATCTCGACTCACTTCTACGATGATACTCGTGTTTTCCGAGTAGAGCCCGGCTTTGTTGTGCAGTTCGGCATCAGTGGCAGTCCTGGTGTGGGCTCTAAGTGGCTCGGGATGCCCCTCATGGACGAGCCTGTTCGGGTAGGCCATTAGTCACGACTTAGCTCCACGATTTTGGTCAGGCCTCTAACGTTAGAGGGAGTATAAGTTTCGCGAAGTCCGATAACCCGAATTCGAGGAGTACTCAAGTGAGGTAGAAGCGATGTCCATCTGGACTGAAAATGATGTTCAGGTTTTTATCAACACTGGAGATAATACAGCTTTAGACAGGCAAAACTTTGCGCCTATTGGAACCGTCATTCAGGGCATGTAGGTTACCCACGGTATTTCCCACAATAGTTTTCCGGGTAGGGACATCGTCGATCGGTTCAATCGACATCGTCCTGGTTCCGGGAAGCCGGCGCAGGTGGAGTGTAGGCCGTGTTGTTGGTAGGAGACTTGCCTTTGCATCAGGAGCGCATTATGAGAGAGGGCAACGCCTATCTTGATGCTGAGTA